AGGAAACCTAAAACAGGTTAGAGGGTTTCAGAACATCATGAGAACATCATGAGAACATCATGAGAACATCATGAGAACATCATGAGAACATCATGAGAACATATAGAAGGAAACCTAAAACAGGTCAGAGGGTTTCAGAACATCATGAGAACATCATGAGAACATATAGAAGGAAACCTAAAACAGATTTGAGGGTTTCAGAACATCACGAGAACATATAGGAGGAAACCTAAAAAAGGTTAGAGTGTTTTAGAACATCAGGAGAACATATTACAACCTACTCACTCACTGGAGACACAACTTTAAAACCAATAGAAATATTATTCAAAAAATCTTTTAAAATCTTTGGTCAAAAGCCCCTGTCCTGTCATCAGTGTCATATTTTGGAAAAGTATAATATGCTCAATTTTGAAAACTTAATTAATTTTAAAAATAGTTGTTTAATTTACAAAGTTCTGAATGGATTAGCCCCACCTCTACTCTCTACCCACATTAGACCTGGCAGATGTATCAGAGAACGTCCCACTTTTTGCACATTTAAAAAGCACCTTAAACTGTTTCATAAAAGTTCCCAGTCATGCACTCACTCATTTTATTATTGTGATGTTGTTGTCTGAACGCGTGTCTCTGTGTTTTGACCAGTGTTGGGTAAGTTACTTAAAAAATGTAATCCGTTACAGTTACAAGTTACCGTGTTTAAAATGTAATTGTAGTGTAACTTTTTCGATTACTTTTAAAAAGTAATGTAACTAATTACTTTTGATTACTTTTTGATTACTTTAAGGTTTTAATGAGTATTGACCCATGATTCATTTTAGCATGTTATTATTAGCTATTGGCCGCAGCTAGCACTTCAAGGCTAACGTCTTGTTAATGATCACAAACAACGTAAATAAATACATAAATAAATCTGAGACAAGTCAGTCGTATCCGGATACAACATTTTAGTATCTATACTTTTTTTCAGTATCGATACTTTTGACAACCCTAGTCTCAAATGTAGGACATGGGTAGGCTAGGTAGGCTAGGCTAGGCTAGGTCATAGACATCGATAAACGTTTGTCATGCATCAACACCAAACAGTCAAATATTAGTAAATAAATAGGTTTTTCTTTATATTTTTTAAAAAATGTAACTAAATTTGTAATTCTTAATATTTTCGGAAGTAACTCTAACTAAATTACATATTTTCTCATTGTAACTGTAACGAATTACAGTTACTCTTTTTTTGTAATTAAATTACGTAACGTCGTTACATGTAATCCGTTACTCCCCAACACTGGTTTTGACTGATATTGTATTATGTGATCAAATGTAAATTAGCAACTATGCTATAATCTGTCTCATTTACAATCTGTACAGAAGTGTAAGATTGTTTATTAATGTGCACTGTCTTGATTAAATAAATAAAAATAAAATAAATATAGAAGGAAGCCTAAAACAGGTTAGAGGGTTTCAGAACATCATGAGAACATATGAGGAAAAGGACTTGAATTGCTGTCGTCATATATATTTAATTTTTGGGCTTATTTAAACAACATATTTCTCAAGCCAAAATCATGTCAGCAAAGTTAGATATCAAGTTGTAAAAAAATATTTGATTCGAAAAAGAAAACCTAAAGGATAAGAGCGGTTTTGATATATTTGAATATATATATATTTGATATATATTTGATTACCAGCTCTGATGTCTTTATACATTTTTAAGAAAGCTGTACGGCTATATTCATTATCTTGTTTTATCAATAGCCAAATCATGCTAAATTAAACGAGAAATGACTTTATCTGTATTAGTGACAACTCATATATCAGACTTTGATGTGTCGTGGTCAAAATCTTTACAAATAAAGAACAATTCTTGAGTAATGAACCATTTCCTGCTCCTGTAAACTGACACTGTCCAGGTAAGGAGGAATTACTGTCAGTAACGTGTTGCTTTTCAGATTCATTCATCATTCTGACTGCAGATCATTATAAGATTGTGTCATCAAGACATAATTCTGTTTAAAACTAAGATAATAGGATCTTACAAGTAACATCAAGTTACAATCAGTTAAGACTACCTAGAAAACAAAGAAAACTGAGATTTTACATCAGTTTAAGGGGTGAAAACAACATGAAAAGATTTCCATGATATGAGTAGTGGATGGATTAAATGGAGAGGAAACATATTTATATGTTTTTATGTGTATATTTATCCCTATGATGACAGGCATGGCCCATTTATAAATGTTCCATTAAACACTTTTGACTGAAAGTGCCTGGAGAACATTGTCTGGTTCCAGGAATAGAGGACGTGCTCAAAGGCAAACACTGAAAAAAATAATGCACAAGTAAAAACACAGGAATTACTAATAATGAAACAGCTTCTGGGTGGGAACTGAATGCAGATTAAAAGCTCAATTTAAAGCTAATTTCCTTTCTGAGTTTCTCCATCAAACCGAATCTTAACATCTAAATGTCTAAGATATCTAAACTTGTAGCTATCTGAATAAATAAATAAAAAAATTGTTTTTATTTTCAATTTATTGATCCAAGAAGAAGATATTATTATTATTAATTTAAAGCTCATTTCCTTTCTGAGTTTCTCCATCAAACCGAATCTTGACATCTAAATGTCTAAGATATCTAAACTTGTTGCTATCTGCATAAATCAAATTGTTTTTTTGTTTTTATTTTCCATTTATTTATCCAAGAAGAAGATATTATTGAAAAAATGTCTTTAATGGAAGCACAGAATGTGGAATAAAGCTGAAAATGGACTCCATTCTCTGCTCACAGTTGCTAAAAACAGGGATAAATCTCCTCTGACTCAGAGGGTTAGAGGAGATGTCTTTAAGGGAAAAAATGTCTTTAAGGGAAGCACAGAATGTGGAATAAAGCTGAAAATTGACTCCATTCTCCGCTCACAGTT